TAGGATGGAGCTAATAGATAGTAATGTCATAATCATTGAAAAAAAGACTTCAAAGGCTTGGATAAGGGTAGCCGAACTCCAAATCAAACATCTTCTTCACATAACATAATAGACTTGCTATCTAGAGGTTCGTTTATCCTCATATACTTAGAGGGGTGAATTAACTTATATTCTAGTGTGATACTATACATAAAGCGTATTCAAGGAGCTCGCCTTCATCAATGTCAGAAAGAACATCGACAATCCTAATATTCTCTTTTCTACTTCTCACTTCGCCCACTCCGGACTCAATAAGCTCGGCATTCTCATCCTCGGGCTGATCTACCAGAACTCAGATGTCCTCATCGCTAGACGAACCCATGACCCCGACAAAAACAGATGAAAAACAAAGCAAAAATTATAAAACTTACTGAAACAAAGCAAGCTAGAGAGAGAAAGGTAACACTTCTAGAGAGAGACAGTCTGGAAATTAGAAATGAGCAAGTGAGTAAAATGAAAGGAAGGAGGAGCTATATATGGGGAGGTGGGACATTGAATAGTCACTCCCATTTAATGAAGTGTCTCTTGAAGTTCCCGAGGAAAATGAATCGTCACCTCATTCCTGCAAGAGCCATTTTCATTTAAAGCAAGAGGCTCGGATAAAGAGCTCTATACTAGGGAAAATACATATATATATTATAATATAAAAATAATGATATATTTATTTGTATATATACAACATATTGTTTGAAAAATCACATGTCAATATCCTCTTTTGGACATAAATGATAAATAATTAAGGGAGACTACTGGTAATACACAATAATAAAATATACAAAAATAACATATAAACATGTATACATAATAGGAAATTCCTAAACAAACTCTAATTATCAAAGATAACATAGGATTCTCAATATCATTATCCTACTGTAATCATTCTCTTCCTTTTATATATATCCCCAGTTAGTTCTAGAAAGGGGCTAATTCTGAATTTTCTTAATCCTTGATTCCATACAATTAATAAGAATATGGGATAGATGAATTTTTTTTATTCATTGGGAGACTAACAATCATGTACAAAGAATATAATAGACTACACAACACGAGATACTTCTATTTACTTAATAAATTTGTGATAACTCACATCAATAAAAAGATAAACCAGATTAGAATTGGCAAAAAATATATCTATTTATAATTTCACTAATATTAAAATTATTATAATTCAATAGTAAATTTTACCTATATTTTTCTAATATTTTTCTAAATTAATATTAATATCACTTCTTTACTCACTAAATTGGTGATAACTCACATAAGTGAAAAAATCAATTAGATTGCACTTCACAAAAAATTTATTTATTTATATTTTCACTAATCTTAAAATTAATATAATTTAACAGTAAATTTTACCAAGTTTAACAATATTTTACTAAATTAATATGAATATCACTTCTATTTGATGTCAGTGCAACAAAATTTTAGCTACTTCCAATAAAAAATTTAATAGAAAATTTTGATATAAAGTCAAATTAAATAAGGATATATTAGAAAATTAACAAGTCAATTATATCCAAAGTGCAAATTATTTATACTATTTCTGTTTCGTTAATTTTGACACTTTTTGACTTTTTCTTATTCCATTTATATGACACTTTTAGAAAATCGAGATAGTATTAATTATTTTATTACAACTTTACTTTTATCAGCATATTTGTATTAAACTTTATCTCTCTTAATTATGTAAATTAATAAGAGGGTAATTTAATCATACCTTTTTAGAATTGAGATGATTCGTAATTTTTTTAATTCTTATGATAAGTCAAAAAGTGTCCAAATTAATGGAAACTGAGCTAGTAAAAAGTATTCTCGTCGTTCTGTTAAATTTGACAGTTTTTAACTCTTTTTGTTCATTTTAGATTGCACTTTTAGAAAACCAAAGTAGCATTAACTATTTTATTTCAATTTTACTCTAGCTAAATATCTGCAGTAAATTTTATCTCAATTAAATGAGCATAAATTAAAGGATAATTTAGCCAATTAACCTTATTCTTTTTCTAGAACTAAGATGATCTAATCATTTTCTTAATTCTTATAAGAAGTCAAGTGTCAAATTTAACGAAAATGAGGAGTAAACATTATAATAAAATTACATTTTATTAAGATAATATATTAGTATTTCATTTTGTAGATGATTCTCCATTCTTTTTCAAATCTTTTGTTGTCGAGGGTATCAAAGGTAAGGGTTTTTAAGAGAGTGTGAGGAATCATCAGAGCAGTCTGTTAATTTTCGAAAATCAGGAATCCTTTTTAGTCCAAATGTGTCTCATTCTCTAAGGTTTAGTATCTCAAATATTTTAGAAATTCATAAACCTATAGGAGGAGGTAAGTATATGGGTTTGCCTTCCATCATAAGGAAAAATAAGAAGCAAGTTTTTTCATTTTTAAAAAGATATTCTTTGGAAAAGGGTTAATAATTGGAATAATAAACTTTTACTTAGAGCATGCAAAGAAATTCTTTTAAAATCTGTAGCCCAAGTTTTGTCTACCTATGCTATGAGTGTGTTTTCACTCCCTCTTAGTATTTATGATTATGAATTTCCATTGGTGGGGGAGCAAAAGGGAAGGGGAGAGGAAACTTTATTGGTTGTCTTGGGATCATATGTGTCATAGTAAGAAGGATGGAGGGATGAGTTTCAAAGATATTCATTCTTTTAACATTTCTATACTAGCTAAGTAAGGGTAGTATTTATTGAATGGCACTAACACTTTGTTATATCATATTTACAAAGCTAAATATTATACCAATGGAGATTTCTTATCATCTGAATTGTGTTCTAGCCATTGTTTCACTAGGAAGAGTGTTTGGTTAGCTAATGATGTTTTGAAATGTGGTATTCGTTGGTGAGTTGGGAATGGGGATAAGATTTTGATAGTACAGATCCATGGATTACAAGAGATGATTGTTTCATAGTTGATGATGGATTGGGTTTTATAAGTCCAAATATGAGGGTTAATAAGCTAATGGTTGATGGGAGAAGGGAGTGGAATACTAATAAGACAATAGAGTTTTTCTCTCTACGAGATATTAGAAGTATTTTAAGCATTTCTTTAAGTTATAGAAATTTGAAGGATAGACTTATCTGACATTTTGATAAGAAAAGCAATTTTACTATAAATCATGTTAGTATCTTTGCCAAAGAGTCTTAGATAGGAATGAAAATGCTTTACATGAAGTTCTTGTCTTTGGTTGTTGGATATTCCTCAAAAGGTAAAAAATTTCTTATGGAATATTTTTAAAAATATTTTACTAATAAAAGCACATTTGTTTGACAAAGGGTTGATATGCTGTGTTGCTTTTGTCATGAGGTTGAAGATACTGATTATGTCTTGTTGAGGTGTAATAAGGTTAAAGAGTTATGGGAGGCTTGTGGTTTGTGGTAAATAACTAAGGTATTTCTTTCAAAGATTATTTTTTTGCAAGTTCTTAATTCTCAAAATAATGGTAAAAGCAACTGAGATGACAGTCCTAGCATGGAAGATGTGATTTTACCGTAATCAAATGATTTGAATCATAATTTGCTCTCAACAATTGAGTTGTGTTTCTCAATCTCTTTTAGTATACATGACTGGCATACAAAAAAAGGTATAAGAGACGCACATGGTCCTTTGCACAGTTCACAAGTTAGAAGACCATCTTTTCATCATATAGTGTCAACACAATACCAACTAATGGCGATTTTTCCTCATCTATCATTATCAGGCTATGCTGCCATTACATAAAATTCTGAAGGAACTTTTCTTTAAGGCTATTTCTAGTCGTTAAAATACTTTCTGAATCTTCTATCTTGAATCACTTGCATTACGATCAACTTTGACTTGGATTGAACTTAATCTTCAAGGGGCAAGTTGTGTTTTCACAGATTCACAAATCCTTGTTTATGCTTTATGCTTTACTGATCAGGATGACTCTTATTTCGGTTTAATTGTTGATGATTGTAAGCTTGTTTTAAGTCGTAGGATGGACATTTCAGTTAGATGGATAATGAGACAAAGAAATGTAGGGGTGCATTCTTTAACAAGAACAACCTATTTTCATGCTAGTTTTCAATTTTGGGAGAGTATTGCCTCATGTTTGTACTCTCTTTATGATTTTGGATAATGATATTTTGTATCGTTCAAAGAATACTTACACGCATATGAGTGATAGAACTTGCTCTTAAATACCAAATATAGGACACGATTAAAATAACACACAGAATGAGTAAATCTTCAAAATGATTAGCTAGATAAATTATGTTCTTTCATACATAGATCGATTATCCATTAATTTGCATAAATCTCTCAATTGTGTATTGAATAAACCTACCATGAATTTTTTATTTAATAAATATATAAATAAAATTAAAATATCAACTTTTAATATTTCAAGAAAACTTTATTCAATCAAATGTTTAATTATAAATCGATTAATTTCAAAAATAATTCAATATGAATGATTTAATTTTAATGGCTATTAACATGAGATTATATTAGAAAAAAAATTATAATTTAATTATATTAGTCAAATTAGGATAAAAATTATGAAGCGGTGAGAATATAAATCTAATCTATTTTTGGTTTTGGGACTAAGGAATAGAATTATAGATGGGCCTATCGAACGTTCACTTTACGATTAGTTAAAACTTGATCGTTAATTAAAATTAGGAAAAACAGAAAGACAAGGAAGTGATTTACTGTTTTTGGATGATCCGATGCTAATGATATGATAAAAAAAGAAAACAAAAGAAAGACGCGTAAAAAAAAAAAAAAAAAAAAAAAAAAAATTTAAGGAAAAAACGAAAGACAAGGAAGTGATTTTACTGTTTTGGCATGATCCGATGCTAATGATATGATAAAAAAGAAAACAAAAGAATAGACGGCGTAAAAAAAAAAAAAAAAAAAAAAAAAATGGAAGAGAAAAGAGCTTGGTCAGCAACACTCATACCGATGTTTCTCGCGCCCAGAAAAAAAAAAAAAAAAAAAAAAATTGGAAGAGAAAGAGCTGGTCAGCACACTCATCCGATGTTTCTCAGCGCCAGCAGCCCTATAATAACACCACCAACAGCAGCCCTTTTTTTTTTCTTTTTCTTTTTTTAAATATAATATTCAAACTCATAAATAAATGAAGACCAATTCATAATCTACTCTACAAATTTCCTTTCCTTCTTTTCTTTTATCCATTTCTTTATTTCCACTTCTTTCAGATCCATTATCTCTCTCACACCTTTTTCTCTTTCCTTTTGTAGCGCATACAAAGGTACGGATATTCATTACTTCATGTTGTTGTTCTTGAATCTTTGTTTTGTAATATTTCATTAGATTGTGTTCTTGGAATTTTGGGTGGTGGGTTGATTTTCATTCCATAGATGAGCTTTGTTTCTGTTTCTCGTTTCTTTCATGGAAAAAAAAAATGTGTTCTTTAATTCAGAAATTCATGGATGGAATGGATGACAGCTTTCTGTAATTTTTTTGTTCCCTTAAAACTGAACAAAAGATTCTTCTTTTTTATTTTTTATTTTTTATTTTTGGGTTTGATGAGAAACTAGCATAGAAGTGGGCCTGATCTGATCTGGGAAACTTCTTATTTTTTATTTTGTCTTGGATTAGATAATGATTGGTTATATGTTTATGCAAGCATTGTACTCTTTTGAATTATCAGGCTTCTAAATTTGGATTGTTGTTTTTCTTTTGAAGAATTTAGTCATTTTGTGAAATTGATTTTGTCAGTGTACTTGATGACATTACTGGGTGAAGAAAAGGCCCTGAAGAAATCTTAGGGAATTTTGACTGTTTCATGGGCAACACATGCCGTGGATCTTTCAAAGGGAAACTTTATCAGGGCATCAATCAGCCCGAGGAACAATCTGCTGCTTCCCATTCCAAGCGCAATCCGTCCTCTGAACACTCTAGTTCTGAGCATTTACCCTCTAGTTTCGCTCCTGGACAAGAATTCCCCAAGGAAAACCCCAAAAAGGATAGTAATTTACCTCTCATTAGCCCCAATAAGAAAGATTTAATAATGAGGCGCAGTGCTGATAACCAGTCTTATTATGTTTTGGGTCATAAAACTGCAAACATTCGTGATCTTTACACTTTAGGCCGTAAATTAGGACAAGGACAATTTGGGACTACTTATTTATGCACTGAGAATTCTACAGGGATTGAGTATGCTTGTAAGTCTATATCCAAGAGGAAATTAATTTCCAAAGAAGATGTTGAGGATGTTCGAAGGGAGATTCAAATAATGCACCATTTGGCAGGTCATAAGAATATTGTTACCATTAAGGGTGCTTATGAAGATCCATTATATGTTCATATTGTTATGGAGCTTTGCTCTGGGGGAGAGTTGTTTGATAGAATCATCCAGAGAGGTCATTATAGTGAGAGGAAAGCAGCTGAGTTGACGAAAATTATTGTGGGGGTCGTTGAGGCATGTCATTCACTTGGGGTTATGCATAGAGATCTAAAGCCTGAGAATTTCTTGTTGGTGAACAAGGATGATGACTTCTCTCTCAAAGCCATTGATTTTGGACTGTCTGTATTCTTCAAACCAGGTACAAAAAATTGTTATATGCCTTTTATTTGATGTACTAGCAAACCTATATGCCAAAACTTCATTTTACTATCATGTTTGTTGCTGATTAAAAACTCTTTCCTATTGTACTAACCGCGCCTTATATTTTATGGCTGAATATGTTCTTTATTGGCATGTATAAATTTATTTATCTGGTTCTCTGCCTATCTACAAGGTGTCATAAAAAGAGTGGCATATTTATATGATAGTCAGTTCTCATTGACAGTTGATATCCTTTTATTGAGATTTAGGAATGGGTAGCATCTTTGACTTTTTAAAGTACCCTGTTAAGTTTTATATCTGATTTGCTACTTCAGGTCAAATTTTCACTGATGTGGTTGGGAGCCCATATTACGTTGCTCCTGAGGTACTCCTGAAGCATTATGGGCCAGAAGCAGATGTATGGACAGCTGGAGTCATATTGTACATATTGCTAAGTGGAGTGCCACCGTTTTGGGCAGGTAGGTGTCGTCTATTATGCTACCGTAACAGGCAAATCTTAATTCTTTTGGCTATCTACTGAACATTTCTGTTTCGGGGTTCAGAAACACAGCAAGGAATATTCGATGCTGTACTGAAGGGATATATTGACTTTGAGTCAGATCCTTGGCCCCTAATATCAGATAGTGCCAAAGATCTCATCCGGGGGATGCTTTGCTCTCGACCTTCAGAACGCTTGACTGCACATGAAGTGTTATGTATGTTGACCTTCTGATTGTTTGTTAAGTCTTATTATTGATATTTTGGCCATTTAATGTAGATATTATGAAACTGCTTGATTGACTTGATGCTTATTTCTGGGTTATTGTTTCTTTTCACATACTAGTTTGCAGTATGTTTGTGTTTAGGATGCATGATGCATTGGCCTGCTACTGCATTACTGCTGCTGTTATACTTATAAAACTCAGGAAGCCCTGTTCTGTTTATTCATGCAACGAGTTTCAAACAATTAAAGTAACACATGTACTGAACAATTGGTCTTGCTGAAATAAATTCGTCTTTTTGTTATTGCTCTTTAATAGACTGCTTATTTTCAACTCACTGCCTATTTAAAGTAGCAAAGGAATTGTAGTTGTTGATACAATTCGTTCTGAAAAATTCTACAAATTTTTGGAAGTTGGATCCTGAACCATCATGCTTATGTTGGAGTCTGGCATATAAATTAACAAAGTTTTCTGCCTTCTGCATTACTTTATGTTTTGACTGAATTCAAAATCACCTGTTTGTTTTGTTAGGCCATCCTTGGATTTGTGAAAGTGGAGTTGCTCCGGATAGAGCACTTGACCCGGCTGTACTTTCTCGCCTTAAGCAATTCTCCGCTATGAATAAATTGAAGAAGATGGCTTTACGGGTAAGTGCATGTTATTTGGGTGCATTGACATGAATATTTTGGACATTTTCATTGCCAAGTGACGCACTTGATGAAGAATACAGCGGTTATCAAATAATTAACAGATTTGTGAGTGTAGTTGTGTTCTTTTTCCATGAGAAGCCTTTGATTATTTTCTTCCGACTCTTTTGGTATTGAACTCAGTTACTCAATTACACCTACCATGCAGTTCAGAATTTTAGCTGTGAAGGATACTGATCATTGATATTGAAATTTAGTTGTTCCAACTGATGCAAATACTTTGACCTTCTGAGAGTTTTAACACTTGCCTGTTTCCTGTAATCAGGTAATAGCTGAAAGCCTTTCTGAGGAGGAGATTGCTGGTCTGCGAGAAATGTTCAAGGCTATGGATACTGATAACAGTGGTGCAATCACATTTGATGAACTAAAAGCTGGTTTGAGAAGATATGGCTCTACCTTGAAAGACATAGAGATACGCGATCTTATGGATGCGGTAAGGTTTTTTTGCAAAGAAGATATTGTTTATCCGATGTTTGGGGGGGGAGGGGGTTGTTGTGCGTCGACATGGTGGAACTAGAAGTTTTAATGCAATTTAAATCAAACTCATGGTATGTGCATGTGTTTATTTATGATCAATGAGTGCTAAAAAAGGGTTAAATGCATAAATTTACCCTGTACTTTGCATAAAAAACCGCTAGCACCTTTAACACTTATTTTAACCTGTTGACAACTTTAACTTATAAAATGTACTTATTAAACATTTTAACTTTCAAAATTATTCTATTGAATACTCTTGTAAAATTGGATCGATTAAACACTTATTAGATAATTGAAAATTGTGAAAATTATAACCGCACATCAAATTAATATTTTGCATATAAAAGCCAAAAACACCAAAATGTTGTTACTATTATTGCTAGTGGAGGTTACTAAAATTTGCAACTTCAAGAGCATAATAGATCTCCAACAATGTTTGGGGTGTCACAGGGTTTTTTTAGAGGGTGAATTTTTACATTTGGCCATCGAAAAAATGAGTCTAAATTTTTCAATAACAAAATAGTATCATTTAGAGTTTGAAAAGCTATCATTTTTGGAAATACATGGCCCAAAATAGAGGCTCAATACATAAATCTACTCCTGTACTTTTTATGAAACAACTTGTGGCACTCTTGACTTTCACTTTGACTTATTAAACACTTTAACTTATAAAAATTGCACCTATTGAACACTTCAACTTATAAAATTAGATCGATTAAACACTTATTGGACAGTTGAAAAATGTGACATATTATTGTTTCAAAAGTTGTATTAACCACATATCAAGACTTATTAACACTTAACTATAAAAATTGCACCTATTGAACACTTCAACTTATCAAATTAGATCGATTAAAACACTATTGGACAGTTGAAAAATGTGACATATTATTTGTTTCAAAAAGTTGTATTAACCACATATCAGTCAACTATTTTTTTTTGCATTATGAAAGCGCAAAAACTTCCAACATTTAACTTATAAAATTAGATCGATTAAACACTTATTGGACAGTTGAAAAATGTGACATATTATTGTTTCAAAAGTTGTATTAACCACATATCAAGTCAATATTTTGCATATGAAAGCCAAAAACTTCAAACATTTGTTGTTTATAGCGTGAAGATGTGTGAGATTATTACAAAAAAAGAAGTTAAGGGTGCCATAAGGTCGATTTTAAACTTCGGGGTGCCACAAGGTTTTTTGTTAAACTTCAGGAGTTAAATTATGTATTCAGCCCAAAATAAAAAAAGAAAGAAAGGAAAAGACCATGTATTAAAAAAAAAAAAAAGGTCCCACATAAATTGAAGTAGTCTACTAGCTTGAGTCTTTGAATTCTTTTTTGATCTATCATGTCAAATTCATGTTGGTATTCTCTGCATGTAGTTCACTACAATTGTGAATGTCAACTTCAATGGTTTGATGTTAGCAATACTGCTTAAATTCTAGTGTAATATGGTGCCCACGAGTTTGAGAGAGGGAATGTTTTATTAAAATCTGAAGATGGTAAACATAAAATTTGAACCTAACAAATGCAAAATAAACAAAAATCAGCTTCTTTTTATTTACCTACAAAACCATTGTATGAAAAAAATATAAATTTGTGGGGAGGGTCAATGATCATAATAATATTTTGTTAGTAATTTTTAGATAAGAAGTGGTCGATACTCATATCTCATTATGTTGTATAGATTAATTAATTAATGCGACAGCTTGAAAATAGAGGAAAGCCAGAACGGAAAAATAATATTTTTCAAGAGAAAAAAAGTTTTTATTAATAGGGGGAAAAAATGAATGGATACGAAACCATAGTTCTGCCTCTCTGCGTACTCCATTTTGCTTGGTTTATATTGTCATGACATTTCTTTTTATCCATTTCCGTTTTGTCTTTGCAACACAACTGTTGATATGGAAAACCTTTTTGTTCTTCTCAAACCAGTACATGGGCTATTTGGATTTTTTTAAAATTTTTTTTGCCCTGATTTTGTTTTGTTCTTTGAAGCAACAGTATCAACGATCTATGTGATTATTGTGATTGATAATATCATTATTGGTACGATACAAAATAGTTTATTAATTAATCAACTCATTATGTTCAATCAACTGAGCTATATTTTGTAAATTTCAGGCTGATGTGGACAACAGTGGGACTATTGACTATGGGGAATTTATAGCTGCAACAGTGCATCTTAACAAATTAGAACGAGAGGAGCACCTTGTTGCGGCATTCAGATACTTTGATAAGGATGGAAGTGGTTATATCACCATGGATGAGCTTCAGCAAGCTTGTGCAGAGCATAACATGACTGATGTTTTGCTTGAAGATATAATCAGAGAAGTTGACCAAGACAATGTAAGTCACCTAAATATGTTTATGCACTTTCACTTGTAATAATTTATTGCATTACATGTGTATTTGTAAATTTGACTTCCCTTATAAATAAATTTGTGCCTTTGGGTATCAGAAGGGGATTCCAAAAGGTTACAGCGGAATGATGCTCAGTGTAGAGCATTTTTGTTGGTTGGCATATGTTCAACATATAACCGATGTCTTTCATCAATGCAATTTTTTAACCATGTGCTCATAAGTTTTTTCCTGCTAAAATCACCTCAGAATTTAAATTTGTATCCATGCTGTTTATGTTGTCCAGAAAAAAAAAAAGTAAAAAAAGAAAAAAAAGGAACATGGGAGTTCTAAAGGTTGGCTTTCTTTTGATTTCTATAATCGAATACTGTAATTTGTGAAACTTCTAAGGGAAAAAGCAATTAGCTTTTGCTGTAATATTATAGTTGCACTAGTGGGCATCTTGTTTGCTTTTCATTTCAGTAATTAAGCTTTTACTTCTTATTTTGTTTATTTGGTATGAACTTCATATTATATTGTGAATATTTTCTTTCAGGATGGAAGGATTGATTATGGTGAATTTGTTGCCATGATGCAAAAAGGCAATTTTGGAGTTGGTAGACGAACTATGCGAAATAGTCTGAATATGAGCATGAGAGATGCACCTGGTGCTCAATAATTTGAAATTACACGTCATGTACAGGTATTTTTCAGCTTTTTGACTTGTTGATTACCACCTTTTCGCAGTTCCTTAGTTGGTGAACCTTCTCCAAGGACGACTTTTAGGATGCATGCATTTTATAATTGTAGCAGAGGTTTAAAAGAAATACAGATACTTAAAAATTGTGTTTATAAATCAAATTGTCTAGAGTATTCCTAGGTCTGTCAACAGTGAAAAGTCTAATGATTCAACTTATGTTTCTAAATATGAGCATTTAGCAAGTGAAGCATTACCAAATAAATCTTCAGTTAATTTTGCACAAATGACTTGTCCATTGTTTGGTATAAATGAATCTGAAGTATATAATTCTTTAGTAGATGATACCATTTGATTTAGTTATGTTGAGTTCTATAATAATGAATTTATGATGGTATCCATTTTTATTCTTACCAAATATGGAAATTCATTTATACCAAACAGTGCATTCAAGAATTGCTATCGGGATTTAGTACTGAAACTATAATTATATTTATTAAACTTCTTCAGATAGCTTTCTAGATTATAACTTGAAGCATTAAAATTAATCATAGTTACAGAATTATGGAGACAAAAGATTCATGTAGCAGACTCTAGTTCGTTGTTGCTTATTTTATGCTTTGTTCTATTTATTAATATATCAAATGATTTTGAATTCTCCTTCAAAAATTTCTTCTCTACAAAAGGTAATTCAAAAATTTTTCTGACATGTACTTATCTTTGCATTGATATTAATATATGATCAGAGCAGACATTGGAAACAAAGGATTCATATTACCAATCCCAACTGGTTTGAGATTAAAGCTTAGTTGTAGCAGTTGTTGTTATCGTTGGTTACATATCTACCATCCGATTCTAATTATATGACATCCACTTGCATTCCTAAATTCTGACTTAAGATTCTGGAACTTACTGCATCAGAACCGTCAATCTCTGTGCATAAAGTGGTGATAAATTAATCCTGATTTCTGAAATTTATTTCATTAGCAGGCTATACAGCAAAGGCAGATGAGGAGGGTGAACTGTGATGAGCCCTGAACAGTGATTTTGTTCCCTTCCTAGCTAACGCACAAGATTTGATTTTCGATGTGAATGTGATCAAGCATTTATTCAGATATGCATATTTTTATATTCTGCTGTATGACTGAGGAAATATCATTCTAAGCTTTGTAAACTTTTCAAGTGTGAGTTGTTCCAGCTGTTCCTAGTTGCCATTTTTCTTTTTAAAATTTTTCCTGTGCTTTTGCTTTGAGGTTTTCTTCCTTTTTGATTTTTGGAGCCCAAAGGATCTTTCTAGTTCATTCTTGGTAAACATATATAGAAATAAGATGTGAAAAGCCCTGACTAGGTTTGGGTCTGCTTGTGTTTATAATGTAGGAATGTTGGGTGATGAATTATAAACAGCAAGCTTGTAAAATGAACTAGACATTAAAAATCTTTGGTGGATCTGTTTAAACTTTAAATGCTAAGATGTTAGGGTTCACATTTGAGTTCAATATCTCTCTTTTCTAATGTGCCTTGAGAAGAAGAAAGTATGTGTGTCTTGTTTAACCAAAGTAAAAATTTACAAAAAGGATTCTCATTGCCACAACCAAATTTCAATTTTTGTTCCCTTAATGGCCCTCATGTCATGCCTTACAGTGGTAGTAATCATTTAATTAGGCTTTTTCCCCACTTTTGGGGAAAATCCATTTTTGGGCCCCCTGAACTTGCTTGACTTTTAAAAAAACATATGAAAAGATTGTTTGACTTTCGATCTTCTGGGGCCCTAACCTTTCACTTTGTTTTTAACTTGAGAAAATTGATGACCTATCCAATGGCAAAAATTTGAATTAAAAAAAAAAAGGAGAGATTTCTTAATGGCAGAAATCTCTCCTTTACAATGTAGCACAACAAAAAATAAAAAAATAAAAAACAATACCAAACAGCTGCTGGATTTTCAAAGTTTTGACTACAAATAATACCAAGTTCTCAATAGTCAGTATCCTCTCATATTGAATAGCTCATGGCCTCAATGGTCAAAAGCATATATAATTAAAGAATAGTTATAGGAGGCTCAAAATATAAAACTTACAACCCTCAAGAGCTTGAAAATGTATTTTTCTTTAACATTTCTTTTGCATGTAATAGACTCTCACTCTTTCATGTTCCACTTTACAAGTATCAAATAGTGGCTGAAGTCACTTTTTGAACATTTGGAAGTACACAAAACTGTGTACCACTAGATGTTTGAACATAGAGCACTTCAAATGGATTTTTTTCCCCATCAATTTGGTCTTCTACAACTGAAAATAAATATACCTTACATTCCCTGTTCTCGACCTGAAAATTAAATTGTTCAGTCTAGGTCATATAGTTACTAGCAGCTAGACACCCTGTGTAGTTGCAGTTTCTCTTGCTAATGAAATTTCCTGCAACAAGAAAGAAGTGATGTCAAAACAAAGCCGAATGAAAAAGGCTGACGAGTGACTAAAATGCAACTCAAGTTGAAATATTAAATTTAAGTTGAAAAGAATTTAGATCGACATTATAGGAAGCAAGGACTTCAGTTGACAATGTTGCCTAAATAATTCCCACATATATTCTACATCCTGATTGTGACATAAACCTAAGCCTTTATAAGAAAGAGGGACCTAATTGCGATTTCACAATTTGATATATAATTTGATTAGCAAATTATAATCAGATTAGCAAATTTGATATATAATTTGCAATTTTAAATTCTAAATGGATTATTTGTCAACTATTTTAGCTTTACAATTATGAATGTAGCCTTTACAAAGTATATTTGGTTTTAGGTTAAACAAAGATAGTTCAGATGTTAGAACCGCGGCATTGGTCAGTATCAGAGCTCTTATATGCTTTGGCATAAGCTGGTTGTGGATAGCCATTGGCCATTAGCTGCAAGGGTGATAGCAACCTGCTCCTAAAGTTTAATTGGATGGGTAAACCGCAAAACAAACAGCTTGGGCATGGAAGGGAAGAAAAACCTTTAAAATAGCTACTGCATTATCGAAAAAAAAAAAAAAAAAAAAAAAGCTGCAAGGGTGATGCAAACCTGCTGCCTAAAGTTTTAATGGATGGGTTAAAACGCAAAACAAACAGCTTGGGCATGGAAGGCGAAGAAAAACCTTTAAAATAGTACCTGCATTAATCGAAAAAAAAAAAAAAACAAAAAAACACTAAAAAATCTGCTAATTGTGGCAAAGCAATACCCAATGCGCCAAGAAGGTCCAAAAAGAGTGACCCATTACAAAAAAAAAAAAAAAAAAAAAAACACTAAAAATCTGCTATTGTGCCAAAGCAATCACCCATCGCCAGAAGTGTCCAAAAAGAGTGACCCATTACCAGAAGTGTCCAAAAAGAGTGTTTCTTTCTGAGTTGGTGCATATTTCAATCCTTAGATAGATAGTTCAATTTTCATCTCATGAGTTTGGCATATGTATCGGGGCAACTCTACTCACGGTTACTTAACTTTGCTTAGCTTAATTGCATAAATTTAATTTATTACCAAAAAATTCACTGAAGTTCAATTTCTGTTCCAATAAGATCATGTTTAAGGTAGATTTTTGTCTTTCTTAGGAAGGATAAAAACAATGAAGGAAAAATAGAAGGGGTGTGGGGGGGAAGGTTTCAAAGAAAATGCAAGGATTTAGCTGCTTCAGATAGTGCACAAAGAATTCCAATAACTCTAGCAACAAGTTCTCAATTTGTCTGCTTAGCATAAGATGGTTCATAAAAAAGGAAAAAAAAAATTTGTGCAACTGTAGAAGGATTTGACTGCCTAATGGTTAAGTGAATGCCTTTTGAATCACTTGATTCTAAAATTAAGGGTATGAAAAGTTGCTAAGTTGTGATCCAAAATGCTCTGCAAGTCCCTTCCGCTAACACACTGCCACATCTCATTTAACCCCCTTAGGCAAAGATTAAACCATTAAGACTAGTCTGCCTAATTTACTTGAGAGAGAAAACATGAAAATCTTTGTGATTGGCTCCATCAAACAGAAACCATCTTTGACTAACATGGTGTGAGAAACAAAGAAAACTGAGTATGAAAATTACCAGTTTGAGAGGGTGTTACTGCAACAAATGGTAAAATCTTTCACGACACCACCAAATTTGTTAACACATACTGTCCCGATTAGCCTCCGTTGAGAACTTTGATGGGGAAAAAAAAAAGCTTTTCTCATTTTTTAAGGAAAGGAATTACATTCCAGCAATGTCGTGCTCTTTTTCAATGTGACAAAGACATTTGAGACCCATATTTTTTGGGCAGAGAACCACATAAATGATGCACTAGTATTCTGGAGGAATCAAGTATAAAATATAAATTGAACTAAAACGTAAGTTTGTAGGTCAGGCTACAGCTTATTTGAGGAAAGTAGAGAAAAGAAACCACTGCCAATGCATGCGTGGGAGAGTATGAAGAAGGTTGTTGAGGCTACACAGACTTCCCAATATCAGAAGACACAAGGCCCTCCGTTTAAGTACTGCAATTGCAGAGATGGAAGGCATACTTATCAGTATTGCCCAGGTAAGATGTCACTGTGGGAAAACTATTTGCAATCTAAACTACAACATTTCCTAAAATTTTGTAATTTTATATTTTTGTTGGGTCATTTAGTAATTTTACAATTTGTTTCTTTATAGATGAATATTGCCTCTATACATATATTTAACTTTGGTTCAACAAATTAGTTTGGATGAGATAACCTAAAGTTCTTCCACACCATTTAGCATCGAAACATTACTATGAAATTCTATGCTCCAATAGATTATTCTGTGATAAATAAATATTCTATCGTCAGCCAAAATAGACTAAACCTGTAGCACTTGACTCATTCATGATTAATGACTGGTAGATGTTAAATCAATTTTTTTTAAGACCAGCATATTCTGGCATTGTAACTAGGATTAAGAGTAAACAAAAAACCTATCATAATAAACTTGCCTTTAACTTCACATTGCTTGAGAAGATGCATCTTGATGTGATAGCAGATCCATAATCAAATAGCCATCCTGCCTCACAGCAAGTTTCACCATTGCTGCTTCCTTTTACTGAACACCATAATTGCTTGGGGAGCAATATGATATTATGTTCATCTATTACTGACTTCTGTATGCTCTCATCTTTCAGTTCTTGAAGGAAGCCCTGGATTAATCAAGAAGGGTTCAGAATTTCATAAACCAAGATATGGAGAAGAATTCATTCAACAAAGACACAAAGTCATGCTTCTGAAGTGTTTGTAATTATTTTAAGAGGATGATCATATTATCTGCCATACTTTTCCAGTGGATGAACATGAATATATAAATGAACCCAAAATCAGTTGTCACGCATCATAATTCTATTTCAATCATCTATTTTTAACTCTCCCCCTTCTATTAAGGCTGTTTGAAATTGGAAGAAGGTCAAACATTCATTAGCTGCAAATTGTCACAGGTGCTGCAAAATGTTTTATAACTAACTCATAATTATTTTGCACCTTATTGCCTCAAAGAAAGGCCAATAATAAATAATGCGCAACTAAAATGCAATAAAATCTTAATTGTAGACTAGTTGGTGTAAATAAGAATACAAAAATTTCAATTTCAAACAGCATTAATTGTCATATGAGCATTTTCTTTCAAAATTAACAAAAGTATTGGAGCTAAGCTAGCACTATAGCACTTAATCACTTGTCAACACAGAAGTTTCATCAACTGCCCAAATGAATAAATCAAGTTTGAATAAAGCAAAGCAAGAACGTAAGCTCCACAACTCACAGTTTGAGAAGTATCGTAAGTGGCAAAAAGTCTAGGTCCTTGCCAAAGTCCTACAACTTGAGAAGCTTCCAGAGCAGGAGCAGAGGCAAAAGCAGTATCTCTAATAGCACATCCACCTAATTGGTCACCATTTCTAAATGGACCATACCACTGCTCACAGAAAACCCTAATATTCTTTAATCTCATATTTCTATTATCTAAATCAACAATCTGAATTATTCTAACACGAGACTCTTTATCTTGAGGATTTATCAAGCAATGCTCTAATTCAAATTGATTATCATGAATTGGCCAAACAGCAACATAAGACCCACTAGATTTATAAGCAAAGGCAGAAACTTTATTATCTAAACCTCCAACAACCCTCTCATTGATACTATACCGAGTAGCAGCATCAGCTTCACATCCAACGGTGGGAAGTAATTTAATGGTTTTATGGGTCATTAGAAGCTGATTTGGTTGAGCAAGAGTAGGGCATTGAGTCTGCCAATCAAAAACCTTCACTTCCCATTCTCTATAAGCTTCAGGCACAACAGATTCAGGAAGTTCAATTGGTTTTCCTTCAGAAGTGAAGTCTGCTCCATATCCATCCCATTCGCCAGACACATTTGCAGCAAATTGAGACCAAACTAATACAAAAACAATATTCAGACTATTAGATTTTGGAAAGTGGAAGTGGGGAAATGTGTAATGAGAACTTACTGCTGCTGCTGCTGCTGCTGGTGGAGACGCCATCTGAAACAGCGGAGTTTTCCGTGCAAGATAAGGAAGTGGGTCGATGGTTACAGTGAAGGAGAGGGAGTGGTGGATTTGATTGGGAAGTACTGACAATGGGTTTAGATCGAGGATTTGAAAATGGCAAGCCTATGGGAATGGGAACTCTGTTTTGCAAGATTAAATTGTTGCCTGTCAACGCCATTTTCGTGTCCTTCAATCTCTTCTCTGACTCTCAGGATGTGGGCGATGGAGCACCAGCGTTTCTGGATTCTGGTAGAAAAAGAGTGAAAGACAGGGACATTGAGAATATTCTCTATTCTTGCGTGAAATGTGAAGGACTCGACGTTAGGAACATTTACTATTTTATCCCGTAATTTGGTGAAAACTGACTGCTATCTCACCGTTATATTATGGAGAGAAATACTCTCTCTCTCTATAAATAAATAAATAAATAAACAAATATATATATATACATCCTGAAACATAAAATCTTTTATAAATACTGATTTGTCATTTTCTGGTTTCAAAATTTTTCTTTCTCTTTTTTCACAAAATTTTTTAGATTTTTAATTTATTTTTAACAAAAAAATATAATTATTTGTCAATTAAAAAATAGTATATTTACATTATTATTACTAATAATTTATTTTAAAAAATCAAAGTTTAAACCTTTTTAACTACTCCATTCCCTTTTATCATAATATCATCTGAAAATTTAAACATATTTTCTATTTTTTAGAAATTTATAAGCTCTAGCTATTTATATAGATAGATCTACTGTTCTCTATCTTTTAAATCTCAAACCACTCAGTTTGATTCAATGACTGTCTTTATTTTTTAATTTCTTTGTTTCTTTTTTATGTTGATATATTTATATTTATTTATATCATATTAAATTTTGCTATTTTTGTTCATCAAAGCTAACATTAGCTCTCTCATATATTTTTTCCTTTTTTTTTAATCGTTCTTCGACTATAAAGATTTAACTTTTTTTTACTATATAATTCTTTTCCTTATTCTTTCATTTCTTCGTTTATAATTCTCTCTTTCTATTTTTATTGGTTCATTTATTTTTTATTTGATTTTTCATTGATATCATTATTAAATGATTTTTCATTTGATATCGTTTTTTATTGCTCTTTTACATATTTTTTTGTATTTTTATTGTTCGTCTTTTAAATTTTATTTTGAATATTATAAAGATATTCGCCCTCTTAAATCAATTTTTCATTATTTTTAATTATTTTTTATTTCTCCTTTTCCTATCTATCACAACTACTCTAATCCTTTTTGTTTATTGATTGATTTCAACAAGATTTTTATTGTGATCGAGTTATTAGGATATAGAATGTTGATTGCTTTCCATCTGTAGCTTTTATTATGACAGCTAGAATTTGTTTGGCAAGTTTTTAATTAGTGTAATTTTTCATTTGTTATTTTTATAGGGTGGAATCGATTCTCATCATATTTAAATAGACTATCTTTATTTTGAATAGTATAATAATTTAATAAAATTTTAATCTGATCATATGTGGAGTTGGTTCCTTACTTAGGTTTGTGCATGCAAAATACTAAACAATGAAAAACTTTTTTATTGATTTGATAAAACAAATAAAAATAACAACCTAACCAAAGTCCTTATTTTTCATTTGTTAATGGTATAATTGTTCTTCATGTTGAGCTATTGTTATTATTTAAATATTTTTATTATCGTAATTTATTTTTTATAATTTATAAGTTAATATAAAAATACGAAGTGTGTTATTTGAAATAATTAATGGAAATCTTTTTATGAATATCCTTGTATCTTAAAAATTGAAAAAACTTTTGAATTTTTTTCTTATCTATCTATTATTTTTAAAATAGCTATACTTAGATAATTATACTTTTAATATTTTTAATTTAACAAAGAATTATCCATATTGAATTATTTCAATTTTTTTATGTATATGTTATTTTATTGTATATTATCCATATTGAATTATTTAAATTCTAGAACTTTATACTTTATATAGAATTATTTAGGATAAAAAATAGTGTTTGAATTATAAACTCCAACTAAAACTTTGCTAGACTAATTGAAATTTATGATTATTTTAAATAAATTAACGGCATTACAATTTCTATAGAACATAGCAATTTAATAAAGCAATCCGCGGGAAAATGAATCTTATAATATATACTAAATACAATTCATATATTAGAAATACATATTGTTTATAAATTATAAATTGGAAAAGTAATCCACGCAAAGCTCGAGTCTTCATCTAGTTATTCTATAGATTATAGCAAAATTAAAATATAATAACATTTGATTTTAAAAGCTAAAGTATGGGATTTTCAAATTTCTCCCTCTCTTCTCTTTAAATAGAGATAACTGAATTTATACATGGATTAAGATGGTAGTTTAACTGAATAGTTTTTCTAATTTATGCCGCCCTAAACAATATTAAATATGCTCTTCAATTGATCGAGAGCCAACTTATGCGGATAGACACCCAAGTTATCATTAATTATAGGATTTCAACCAAAAATGGAGGAAATTGTAAGCTAATGACATTAATTTATCCTTTTTCAAAATTTTCCAAATTAAAATTTTATGTTTGAAAATTTGAATTTCCCTCATTTTTTAAAGTCTTGAGCAATTTCAATCACATGCGCCCAAACATAACGAAAATGTGGAGCCAAAATTTTTTATAGTTTTACTGTCTCTTCAACTTCTATAATATGCAGTTATATAAATTTGAAACAGACCATGAACATGTAACTGCATTCATAAGCTTTTCAAGCTAAAGGTAATAGAAAGAGGAGAACGATATTTCTTATGTAACACCTATCGCCCAATCCCGAGAGACCCGACGACGGATGCCATATTTGGTGTCAGAGACACCGTCCTAACTGACATATAAATCATATAATCATATTATGAATTAGAAGTGACTTAGTATTCACAAATTTAGCAAATGATATTTTGTTATTAAAATGTATATTTATTTTACATATAAATCAATATAATCATATTATGAAAATTCAGAAGTGACTTAGTATTCACAAATTTAGCAAATAAATATTTTGTTAATTAAAATGGTATATTTATTTTATGAAAAACAATTTTGGAAGAATCCTACAGAAAAAACTGCAAGAGTTCCCCTTAAAAACTTGGCTGCAAGCTAAAAATGTGAATACCAAGCACATACACTTCTAATAACCTTCTTAACTATATAATCCTCAATAAACATTTGGTTAGTTATCAATTGAATACGTTCATAATATTATATATATATATATATATCATGTCCTAGTGAACTAATCATACCAACTGTCTTAAAAAAAATATTTTATATCTAATCATAAAATATGTCTCATACTTATCTCCAAATATATACACTAAAATAATTTGTAATAGCATGCTTAAGTTATAATTCAAATAACATAATTTCCAAAAAAAAAAAAATGTAATAATTATACATGCCAAAATTCTTAATTACATAAAACTAAATCTACTACTACCAAATTAGTTTCTTCTGCTCTGATGCTACTCTTCTGGTTTTCAAGCAGCAAAATACAGTCTCGAACCTGCGCGTGATAAAATCAACGCGCTGAGTATAAAACTTAGTGGTGCTCATAAATCACAAACATGCCAATGTTGTGATGACAACATACTCAAATTATAAATTTTCATAAAAAGATTTACAAATCATAAAATCATTAAATTTTTTTTACAAATCATAAACATCATTAAATTTTTAAATAATCATTATAGCTAAGAATATAAAAAACTTACAATAGATAACATAAATAATTTAGTTCTTGACACCTTAAGTCCTTTACTTAAACATTTTATTCACCAATAAACATGCTATTATTTTAAAATTATGGTACAAAAAAATGCATGCTTGGAAATTTATTTGATAACATATTTGATAACATAAATAATTTATTCTAAACTAAGATTTACTAAAATAATGCAATCTCATTAATTTAATTTTCTTAAAGATATTTTCCAAGGGGCTCGCATATATTTAGGAGAAAAAGAAGCAGATAAGATTTCATAGCTTATTCATAGGGGCTGCAAGAGCCTATCATAACATATAGAATGCGTCCGCTTTAACATAAGACACCCACGTGCCTAGCATATGATCATAGCTTTTTATCATAATGGCATCAAATGCCGAGCATGCTCATCTGACAAAATAAATCAAATCATGCAACAAATTTACACCAAGTATATTAGAGTCCAAAATTCTTGTTTTATTTCTTAATTCATAACATTTCTCATAAAATTCATTTTCTTTAGTCTTCTTAAAATCATAATGGAAACTTAATTTAAACTTAAGTAATTTTCCAAGCGTAATTTCATAACTTAGGCAGCAATTTCTTATCATAGAAAATTTCTGTTTAAACTCATTTGTTTTTATTTTATTTTATTTTTACTTATCCTAATTCATAATAAGAATTTCATCATAAATAAAAAACTTTATCAATTATCATATTTTTCCCTTATGAAATTCAAGGCAACATATGCTTAAACACCCCATTCTTTCCAAAACCTAAAATATATGAAAATTATCAAAATGTATCATACCTATGAAATAATATATATATATATATAACATATATATATATATAGCATGACATAGAAGGTCCATATATCACATAAGCAATTAAGTAAGACTCACCACCCTAGGGTGGTTCGGCCTCTTCATGCAAATTAAGGGGAGGAAGTTTCCTCCTTCAATCAAGCATACTAACATAATTCTTAAGCACTCAAATATCTGTTTAAACCCTCATCATGTATCAATTAAATTAATTCCACATTTTCCCCCAAAATGTCCAATAATTTACTCATAGGAAAAATTAGTAAATTTAACATATGTACAATTTAACTTTAGTATCCATTAAATATTGTCATAACAACACATTTAGAGCTTAAATCAAACATTAATTGAAAAGAAAAACTCACACCCTTACCTCACATATGGTTCCACCAACATGAGAGAATAAGGGGAAGAGTTTCTCTCAACCAATTAATCATTCTAACAATGTTCAAATACACCAAAGAGCATAATTATACAACCAAAGCTCAACAATTTAATCAATTCATACAAAATTCTCAAATTAACACATAATAGCATAAAATCACAAAATCAAAAATTAAAACAAGGTAAGTGTATTTATGAACACTAAACTTAAAACAAGCTTTAACAAGCTTAAATTAAAACTCTTTAAGCCTTAGCTTTGCCCTTCTCTTTGGTAGAAGGTTCTCCACCCTCTACATATAAGAAAATAAGGTTCTCCACCCTCTACATATAAGAAAATTAAAATCAAAACAAAGAAAACACATAAAAGAAGAAATTGGAGCATGAGTAAGCA